GTTCTTGGATTGTTTTTTGTAAAAAAGAAGGATGGTGAGCGCCTGCGCCTCATCGTGGACTGTAGACGCAGCAATGCTCTTTTTCGTCCCCCGCCTGGTGTCGACTTGCTGTCAGGTGAAGGGCTTGGCCGCATCGAGGTGCCGGTGCTCAAGGAGGGGGACCTCAGCGAGCGGCGCGTTGTCCTGGGGGTCGGCGACGTCGCCGACTGCTTCCATCGGATGAAGCTGGACGGCGACATTCGGCGCTACTTCTGCTGGCCGCCGCTGTTAGCCTCTGCCACAGGCGAGACCCTCATCGAGGGTCAGGCGGCTGGCGACTCGGAGATGGTGTGGCCCATGAGTCCGAGCTTGCCGATGGGCTTCTCATGGTCGCTTTTCTTCGCGCAGGCGGCCAACCAGTCGCGGCTCGATCGGCAGCCGTCCTTGGCAAGGAGCTTGCGGCTCAGTGATCGAGGGCCGCCTCTTGTCCTTCGCCGCGGGCCACATAATGAGGACCTCGGCCACTTCATGTACGTCGATAGCGCCGGCGTCCTTGGTTTGTCAGACACCGCCGTCCGCTCAGCCCTTTACGAGGCCCAGTCCGATTTTGATCGTGACCATCTCAAGTTTCATGAGGTTGAACTTCACGTGGGAGGTGGTCGTTCACTGGGCTGCCACCTGGATGGAGCAAGGCTCTGCACGCGGCCTACGGACGAGAGGTTCGCAGCCGTGCGGAAGGGCCTGCGATGTCTCCTCAGGCAGCGCAAGGTTGCCGGGTGGCAGCTTGAGATGGTGCTGGGCCACATGACGTTCATGGCCTTGGTACGGCGCGAGCTGCTGTCTATCTTTCACGCAGTGTACGCTTTCGCGACGAGCAGCTATCACACCTTTTCAGTCCTTTGGCCTACTGTTCGAGAGGAACTGGAGTGTTTCTTGGGATTGATGGTGATGCTCGCGGCTCGCTGGGACCGCGACTGGATGCCGTTCGTTTACTCGTCGGACGCCAGCCTCTACGGATACGGCGTCGCAGAGGCGGAGTTCGACTCTGCCCAGGTGGCTCTCGTCGGCCGCATCTCGGAGCTGAGTCGGTGGCGTTTGGGCGCTGGTCTGGCTCGTCAGCACGCCTTCGAGAGTGCCGGGTTTCTTCTGAACTCAGAGACGGGCGAGGTTGTCCGCGACGCCGAGGGGGCGCCGAGGCGGCTCGACTCCGAGCTGCTGGACATCCTCAACAGCGAGCGCTGGGAGTGCGACCCGGGGTTCCCCGAGGTCCCGCACGAGCTGCTTCACGATTCCCACTGGAAGACCGTGATGGCAGATCGCTGGGTCTTTGCTGACGATATTCTGAGGCTTGAGGCCAGAGCACTGGTGAAGGCTGCCTCTCGTGCGGCCCATTCTCAGCCAGTCAAAGACTGCCGCGTCCTCCTACTGGGGGACAATCTCTCGGTAGTGCTCTGTTTTTGTCGTTTCAGGTCCAGGGATTTTCGGCTGCTAATTCAGGTCCGACGTTTTGCTGCGCTCTGTCTGGCGAGAAACATCAGATTTGTTGTCCGATGGATACCAAGCGAGTTCAACTCTGGCGATGAAGGCAGTCGGAAGTTTGATCCAGAATATGACAGCACCAAGACCCTCGTATCCCATTTAGGCTCAAACCAGGCCTTGGGCCCCCTGCCCTCAGGCTCCTCGCGGCAGTGCGATGGAGGGGGCCCAGCCGGCCTCGCCGGGCCGCCAGCGGACGCTGCAGCGCGGCAGCCTGCCGCCGCAGGCGCCGGCCGCGGGCTCCCCGCAGGAGCCGGCGGCGAGTGCGCCTCGCAGGGTGCGCACCCTGAGCCCGGGGGCGAGCGCGAGCAGCTCTGCGGCGGCCCCGCCGGCGAGGCGAGCGCGTGTGCTGGGCGCGTCCCAGGGCCTGGATGCGAGGCTCGTGGCTGCCGCCCCGCCGCACTGCCCGGCGCAGACGGACGCCGTGGAGGCCTTCCTCGAGACGCCGGCGGGCAAGCTGACTCCAGCAAGCGCCGGCGTCCCCGCGGCGGCCGTGGACGCGGGCGCCTCACAGAGCTACGAGAGCAGCGACGTGGAGGAGCGGCGGCTGGTGACCGCCTCGCGCCGGAACCTCGAGCTTCGGGGCAAGGCTCGCGTCCGCAGGGCCATCCAGGCCCACGGCAGCGACATCTGGGGGCACGGCCACAACACGGGGCTGAGCTACTTGGAGAAGCGCTCGGTGGGGGCCAGGTCGCTGGAGACCTACCGAGAGTGCGCCCTCGCGTTCTGTGCCTGGGCAGGCTTCTTGCTGACAGCCATGCCCGCGTCGGCCGTGCTGGACGTGAAGTTGGTCGAGTACATGAACAAGCTCTTCCTCGAGGGGGTCAAGAGCTGGCGTGGAGAGAAGCTCATTGCTGCGATGATGTTCTTCCACCCGGACTATGGGAAGTCGGGTGGCCTCTACATGCCGCGTGCCCTTCGTACGCTCAAGGGCTGGAAGCGGCTCAGCCCATCAAGATCGCGGAAGCCCTTGGTGTTCGCGATATGGGCGGGCATCGCGGTCGAGATGGCCAGGCTGGGCGCTCCTCTCGCCGGGGTGATGGTGCTCATCATGGTGGAGTGCTATCTTCGACCCGGCGAGATGCTGGGGCTGACGTCGAACTCGTTCTTGCCGCCTTGCAGCCACGCCGTGGACAACTGGGTGCTGCTCCTCTTCCCGGAGAGCGGCACGGCGCGCAGCAAGACGGGGTCGTCGGACGACTCGATCCCGATCGATTCGGGAAGGGTGGCCTGGATGCATCACATCTACCGGGCCCTTCGCGATCGAGGGTCGTCTCAGCCGCTGCTCGGCCTGACCTACCCGCAGTTCCTGGCGCTGTTCAGGCGGGCGGCTCACAACATCGGGGTCGACGCGGTGCCCTACCAGGGGAGACACTCCGGGGCAAGCTTGGACAGGGCCTCGAACCGCCGGACTCAGGAGGAGGTCCAGAAGCGCGGGCGCTGGGCCACACTCACCTCGGTCAAGCGCTACGAGAAGGCGGGCAGGCTGAACGAGTCGTGGGAAGGCCTGTCGGAGCTCACGAAGTCGTTCTGCGTGGCTGCTCTGAGGGTGCTGGAGGATGTCATCCTTCACGGCCGCCCCGCACCCGTTCCAGCATCCCAGCGCCCCACGGCCTGAGCGGGGCCGCCGCCTGCGCTGTGCTCAAGGCGCAGAAGGCTCCGTATCTCTTGGATCTCTTCGCCGGCGGTGGAGGGGTCGCCGCGTGGGCTCGCAAGCTGGGGATACCTGCCATCAGCTTAGACCTTCGGCAGGGCGCTGATCAGGATGTGTGCAGTGCTGCTAACCTCCGCATCTTCGCGGATCACTTTCGCCGTGGTCTCATTCGTGCTGTGATGATTGCGCCTCCGTGCGCGTCCTTCTCGCTGGCCCGGAACAGGTACCCCGTCAGGAGTGCCAAGTTTCCTCAGGGCCTACCACGATTGCGAGCCCATGATCGTGAAACAGTAAAGATTGGAAACTTATGTTTAGCTGTCGCGGTCTACATCATTCGGTTGTGTGTTCAATTCAAGATCCTTTATGCTATGGAGAATCCAATGGGCTCGTACTTGTGGCGGCAAGCTAATGTGGCTGCTCATGTTCTTCCGCACTCGTGGGCTCTAGACCTGCATCAGTGCGCTTTCGGTGCTCATTGGAGAAAATCCACGCGGATCGTCATCGGCTGCCCCACCGAGTCCGGTAACCTGGCTATCAATTTCCCGGATCGCCTCAGATGCCACGGGAAGCATGGTTTCTGCTCGTTCCGTCCTGGTCATAAACATTTGATTTTGGAGGGTAAAGCGATGACGTCGAGGGCCGCCCAATATCCTTATCGTCTGGCAAAGTTCCTCGCTAAGATTCTACTCGACCTGTAATATGTGCAGTGCTGCGTTTTCGTTGCTTCGAGGTCTTCTCGCACTACATCAAGGTTGACGCCTTCCCGCACCTCCGTACGGCAATGGTCTGGGTACCGCTGCGCTGAGAACTTCGACTATGCCAAAGGGTTTGGATTTTTATATTCTGGCTTCTGTCTTGCACGTCTGACGGCTCTCGAGAACCTTGGCGGAATCCATTCGGTATCAGATTGCACCACCGAAAAACAATCACTAGCATGGTTGTGCGATGCACGGTCTTGCTATGAGTGTTTAGTCTGTTGCACCCCGGCAGTTATCACCCGTTTTCCATAACTGCCTGGGCTCAAGCTTGCCCGCCCTCGGCCACCCTGGACCTGCGTACATAGTGCACAAACAATTTTCACCTCCTTCTTTCCCCTAACGGGGAGCGGATTTTTATATTCTGGCTTCTGTCTTGCACGTCTGACGGCTCTCGAGAACCTTGGCGGAATCCATTCGGTATCAGATTGCACCACCGAAAAACAATCACTAGCATGGAAATGATTGTGTTCGAGGATTGGCAGAAGTCGAGAACAAGCAGGCAACCAAGTATGTCTGCAGCTAGCGCATACACAGGCACTGGCGTGCATTCGCATGGAGCCGAGCATTAATTATTTCGCCCAGATTACCTCGCTGAGCGCGATCGTCTGCAACGCTCACAGCCAAAACGCTGACGTAAGGACAGCTTTGGGCTCAGGAGGGGCTTGTGTTTTGGGTGCTCAGGTCGGGAATCCTGGTGTTTCGTTGCCGAGGCTTGCCGTGGCTAGACACGCCCTTCCGTGGTCCTTTTCGGCGCTTCTTTGGTATCACGATGGTTATGTTCATCAGGGGCGCCGACACAGGGGACTCCCTCGGGGGAGGAGAGTGAATCATTGTCCCCCAATCGCGCATTCCTCGCCGATCCGGGCTTGGATGCCCCAGCCCACCTTGCAACGTCGGGTTTCCCCGTCGGGGGCCTATCGACGATCTGCTGGCGATGTATCATCGTTGTATCGTCGATCTCGCACCGTTGCTTCTCTCCCTGAGCCCAGACCCCCCGAGCCCCAGGCCCCCCCTTCAAGTCACGTTTTTGCCCCACTGCTCCTGGGTCGCTCCCTCGATCGACAGATTGTCAGGTCTTGCTCGACAACTTCGGGCAGCTCATCTCCGAGACCCGCGGCGCCTGCGGGAAGATGCCGGAGTGGCGGCTCCACGCCGCCTGTTTGCTGGGCGCCTGGCAGCGGGGGGTCAGTACACGGAGAGTGGGTCCGAGGATTCCAGGAAAGTGGCCCGTCAAGTGTCCTGAGTTGCCACCGCGTGCCCAAACTTGGCATCGCTCGGACGTGCGCATTTGTTCTCGGCGAGAACCATCGAGGACCATCCTGGACCATCGAGCAACAACAAGCACGCACGAAACCGAAAAGTGCACGGGAAATGGACGTCCGAGCGACGGCAAGCAAAGAATGTTGTGCTGGACAGATGCGCACTTCTCCGCCCCCTATTCATTCCTCCCCCCCCGTATTAGCGAACGCCCGAGCCCTCTTGCCGGCTCTTCTCGCTTGCTCAGACCATATCAGGATCGACCTCGATCCCATGATGGGGTCCCGATTGATCCGATCTATTATCGGTTTCGGCCGGGTTGGGTCCGATTCGATTCCGATGTTCCGGCGATCCAGAAGTGCCCGAAGACAGATTGAAGGCCGATGCGGCCCGGTTCGATACACGTTCCGATCCGATCCGATGCATCGATTCGATGTTGACTGTTCCTGCACAGGATTCGGAGTCACGCAAAGCTGGCAGACGTGAATTTCGAACCCGGATGTGCAATCCCCATGCCCGATTCCACGCGCGAAGCATGGCACCAGCGCCACAGGCACAGCTGAGCGCCACCTGCAACGGGCAGGATGCCACTCAGCTGGTTCTTGACGACCTGGGCCAGGTTGCCTGCTCCCTGCAGACACACGGAATGGCATTGTTAGTGTCCTTGCGGCGTAGGGCCGAGCGCCAGGATACCGTACCCAGGGGTGGTGGTGGAACGCAGGCATGGCGATGGTCCGTCGTCAAGCCGCCGTGTACCCCTCCAGCCCTGAAGGAGGGGTTGGGCGGCCAGCAGATGAGGGGGATAGAGGGGGGGGGCGGGATGATCAGGAGTCGTACCCAGGGGGAGGAGGGGGATGGGGAGAATGGTCGCCCAGACGGTCCCATGGACAGGTCGCTGCAGCCCGCTGTAGCCCCCGCCGAAAGCAGCCGCCGCCCGCCCCTGAGCGCCTGCCTCCGAACGGGGAGAGCAGCGGGCGCTCACGGGCGGCGCTTGGCGGCCCGGGTACGGGGAGGCAGCGGGGAGGCAGCGGGGAGGCACCCTGCGAGGGTCACCCGCAGGGCCGCGAAGATGACCGCGCGTCACGCTTCGGTGTGGAGGCGCTGCCTATCGTTGCTTCCCGCGCTCACGCTCTGCGTCTTCAGGATGTCCCAGGCGCGCTTGGGATCTCAGTGCATTTTTATGATTTGGGCGTTTACTTGAAAACTGGAGCATATACATTACCAGTGGTAGGCTGTTTTTCAATCCCAGGATTTTTTTACGGTCGGGGACGACGTCGGGCTGGTGTGGTGTATATTTGTTTCCCCGTTTTCCGGGGAAACGACGGAAAATGTATACACCAGGATCCCGTATACACCAGGATTCGTTTTCCTGTGCGAAATTCAGTGCGAGGCCAGACAAAGGCGTCGGTGTATAGAGTTCGGTTCTTTCTTTACTCGAAATGAGTACTTCGTTGGTTGAAGAACGCTTGCTGCTGACCCCTGACGAGCTGGCTAATGGACTGGAGCTGCTCGCCGTTTTGCTTGAGTTCCTGGCCCTCGCCGCGCATGCAGGCGCAACCGAATTTGGCGGTGTAGCGGTCCATCCTGCCCCTTTTTTGAACAGCTGGTTTGTTTTCTGGATCCGAAGTCATGAGGAGGATGATGATGCTGAGGATGAGGAGGAGGAGGATGAGGAGGAGGTGTAGAGAAGGCCACCAGGTCCCGGGCCCCCGCGCCGCCGCGCCGGTCCCAGGGTGGTGGCCGCTTCAGCGCGCGGCCGCGATCGGACGCGCGGCCTCCACGTTTACAGCAACGTCTGGGTGTACAATTTCATCCGCTTGTGGGCGACTAGCTGCGATTGCAGCAATGTCCACCAGCGGGGGGTGATTAGAACATCAGCCACAAGTTGTTGAATTTCAAGGCTACGGGACTGACCCACTTTTGCGGAAATGTGCCGGCAATGATGCCGAGACCATGCACGCATGGAGGAACATGGGCGCGAATAGACGCAAGGAATGGGGCACAATGTCAGGGATGTTATACAGCCTCGGCCCGACATTTTTTATCGGTACGACCGCCTCGCGAAAACGTCCAAGCACGAGCTGCGCAACAGGCAACCCCAGTGCGAGAACAAGGTGCGTAAAGGGCAACCCATGTACGATAACAGGCAACCTGGGGACGAGCGCCGCCGCCGTTGCGACGCCAAGTACGCCGCCAAGACCGACGCCACGAAAGACGCGACCGAGCAACCCGAAAGTGCTGTTAAATTCGTCGCCGCGGGGGTGCAGGTGGCCAAAGGCCGCGCCGCCTGCGACGAGCGCGATTCCAGTCGCGCCGCCCATCACGAGTACGACTAAGGAAGTTTTTTTTCGACGGTGACCTGTACTTTTTCGACCCCCAGGACTATTCCGGCTTCAGGAACGTGGAATGCCACAAGTTGGCAACCGACAGCTTCGGTTCGTTCGGGACTACAAATCGAGCGTGTCTTCTGAGCCGTTGCAGCCACGAACAGAACTACCAGGGCCATTAGACAACATTCTAGGCCCACGAGCTCAGCTACGAGGGCCACAGGCAGAGCTACGACCGCCACCGGAAGAGTTTCAATACCCACCCGCCGAGCTATGAAAGTCACCAACGTAGCCACGAGAGTCATGAGTTGAGCTACGAAGGCCGCGCGCTGACCAACACGAGCCCCAGGCAGGGTGACGAGGCCCACAAGCTGAGCCACGAGGGCCGCCAGCTCAGATCCCAGGGCCACCTGGCAGAGCTATGTGGACAACCAGACGAGCTACCATAGCCACCAGCTCAGCTACGAGATCCACGGGCAGAGCTTCGAGAGCCAACGGCAAAGCCACGAGGCGATCTGGCAAACTACGAGTGCCACAACCTGGGCTTCGAGGTCCACGAGTAGGGCTACTACAGCCACCACCAGAGCTGCCAGGGCCACCAGCGGCCTTTCGAGTACCACAAGCCGAGCTACGAGGACCACGGGCACAGCTACGATAACCACCAGAAGAGCACCAGAGGCACAGCTACGAGAGCGACATGCACGTCACGAGGTTTGCGAGCTGAGCTACGAGGCTCACACGCACAACCGTGAGAGCTAAGAGGGCCACCTGCTGAGCTACGAGGGCCACGACCACTTATGCGGACCAAAGGAAGAACTACCAGAACCTCATGCAGAGATATTCGGGCAACGAGCTGAACGGCAAGGCCCATAACAACAACTCCGAGCGCCACCAGCTCAGTTACAAGGGAATCTGCGGAGCTATGAGGGCCACAACTCGAGTTGCGCGGGCCACGGGCAGAGCCAGAGAGCCTCCCGCAGAGCTACCATGGCGACGAGCTGAGCTATAGGGGCCACGACGTGAGCAGATTTCCGAGGGCCACCAGCACAGCTACATTGATCGCCGCGAACAGAGCCAAGGGCGGAGCTACCAGGAGCACGTGAGGAGTGACGAGATGAACCATCTGAGATACGAAAACCACCAGCATAACCAGCCGGACGATTATAACAATCCAAGTGTTTGAACACGCAGGACTACGACAAGGGCTGCTCTCCTGAGTGATAGGGTTGCAAGGCCACGCGCGCCAATGGACTCGAGGGCACGCTGGGCGCGTGGGATACCACGGAACGTTGGGCATTTAGATCGGGGCACATGGTTATCAACCTTGACAGTACCGACATCGGGCCCATCGACAAGTGCAAGAAGACTTTGCCGTCATGTCCCTAGAGACGGCCCGAGCCTACTGATATCACGGTCCGATGAACAGGGACTGCGTGCCCGAGTTCCTATACGACCTCGAGTCCTTTGAAGACCAGCCAGGGGTGGACACGCTCTTTCTCGACATGCTCCCCGGCGGAAGCCTGTCCGACGTAGTCTATAAATGGATGGCGCAGTAGTCTTGGTGAGGCAGGCTAGCCATAAGCCGCAGATTCATTGGGATAGGTTTTCGAAACCCTCCCGCAGGTTAAAAACTCGTTATCTTTCTGGCGACCTTATTGACGGATTGGGGCACACATTTATTTATATGTCTTTAGAATACTGGGGGGCACCAGCCGCGCAACAGAGACGATTATAATTACGATTGCGACTCCGACCACGATGGGTTCACGGCTGCGAATAGTTCGCAACCGCGACCATGATGACGATTACGGTTGCGACTACGATTGCGACTTCGAAACTTTGGATCAAAACGGTGTACTCTCGCATTGCAAGGTTAATGAAAATATGCCCACGCATTCTGTTGCGTGTAGGGTAGCCCTCGATGGAATACTCCCTGGGAGAAAGACGCCCCGAACTATTTCCAACCCGCCCGACAAGAAATGGAACATCATCCCCACTGCGACGGCGAAGACGAGGAGGAGGAGGAGGAGGAGGAGGAGGAGGAGCAAGGGCGAGTTCATCCCCCCCGAGAGAAACAAAGGGGGACCAAAACTAAAGACCACGCGAGGCGAGGGTCCTCCAGCAAGACTAATATTGCTTCGTGCCGGCAGTACTTGTTATACAGCGCGAGGGACACTGCTACCACGTACGCGAACCAATTCTACAACGCTACGGGCACTGTACTCCGTATATGATGTCGCCGCTCAGAGAATACGTCAATGGCAAGTACATCAGTTACGGGTGATTGGTACAACAGAACCGAAAGCCTACGACGAACTACGTCTACATCGCTGCAGACAAAGTACTCCGTGCACAACGTTGCGCGCAAGCCACACCGTCACCGGAATTGCTCCCACATTTCCTGGGCGGCCCGGCCGCTCCCACCTCCTTTTCTTCCCCGTACGTGTCTCAGAAATATGTACAGAGTGGCCTTTCTTCCCTCCTGCCTCTCAATTTCTGGAATGGTTCGGTCCCGCGTCGGCCCCGACCGCGCTGCCGCTCGTCGGGGGAAGCGCAGCGACATGTGGGGACGCCCGAAGGCGTTCCGAGAGAGAGAGAGAGAGAGTGGACGTGGAGGAACGAGGGAGGAGTAGGACAGAAGTCGGGAGGGAAGGGTGGAAGGAGGAGGGAAGGAGGGAGTGCGGGAGGAGGGGGGGAAGAATAGTAGTTTGAGGAAGAGGAGGGGGAGGACCAGGTTAAGCACAATACGTACCATCGATGCTGCAATACACCCTCCGGTCGCAAAGCCCCCCCATCATAGCTTCCAATCTGCTTTGCTTTTCGGCACTTGGGCCTGCTATTTTGGCGAGGGGGCCGGTTTGAAAAGGAATTGGTCTGTATAGTTTCGGCGCGCGTATGACTAAACATTCGCAACACAATGAGTATACAGTATGCTGGTCAACGGGGTGTCCAGAGAGACCCCCTTTTCGAACAAAAGTCGCCCCGTAACAGTGCAACTGCCGCACATGCTTGCACATGTAATAATGGGCTTCGAAGGAGTCTTCGAACGAGAGGCTTCTTTCGAAAAGGCGCCGCCCTTGATCCGTGCAGTGCTACATGTGTGGAAGTTCCAGGCCCTTACAGCTCGGGAGCCTCCAGGGAGAGCCCCATATTGAAATTGAACAATTTCTAGCGTTCTAGTGGTTGTAATGTTTCAAGACGAATGTGCGCGGCGCTACGGTGATTGCTACATGTTAAAGCAGTTTGAGTCCCATTATCTGACTTGTTGCGGGTCTGTGTAATGTGCGCGGCGCTACGGCGAGATCCACATTTTGAAATTGAGTCGCTCTCCACCCCTGAAGCCGTTGCAAATTTGAAAATCGAATGCGCGCGGAGCTGAGGCCAGAGCTACATTTGGTAAACGGCCCAGCTTCCGTTGAAGCGAACGTGCGCAGCGCTAGCGCGAGAACCGCTTTTGAAGGAATTGCCCTCCATCTTTGAAGTGGTTGCAACTTGTTAGCACGAATGTGCCCGGCATTGATGCGAGAGTAAGGCTTTTCCAAAACGATCCGTTGTCCATCTTTGAAGTTGGCGTATTTTTTCTGGACGCATTTGCGCGGCATTGAGGCCAGGGCTACATTTGGGAAACGACCCAGCCTCCGTCCATAAAATTGTTGCAATGTTTTGAGCTGGATGTGCACGGCGATATGGCTAGAGGTGCATCTTGAAAAAGGCCCGCCCGCCTTCCATTCTTGAATATATTTCAGGGCTTAAACTCCAGAAGTACAAGCGGCCTCAGGCGAAACACCTGGCTCACCCTACCAACACGTCTGGGGGTGCGAGACGGCAGAATTATTCAGGAAAAGAGATGTAGGAGGAGGACGAGGAGGAATAGCTGGTAAATTGCAAGAGACAGAGGCATTGGTTACGATGCGATACGATGCGCGAGGAGGAGGAGGAGGAGGAAAAGGAGAACGGGGAGGAGGAGGAGCCCTGACGACGCCGAAAGGCAGAAGATTTGGCGACAGTGCATTCTTGATTGCCTGCTCACCAGTTGAAAGCCAGAACTCGCACACGTAAGCTGGAGACATCGCAGGACTAGGCAAACCGCCACCTGCACACTCAGGAGGACCCCCTCCAGCGGCCCCTGCCGCCGGCGCAGGCAGCTCGACCTGCCCCGTGAGGAGCCGCGGCTTCTGCGGGCTGGGCCCTCTTTTTTTTGTTCTCTCTCTCTCTCTCTCTCTCTCTCCATTTTTTCCCAACCCTCCTGCGTTGGGTACTCGTTTTGAATAGAGCACTGCGGTCTCCACCTTCCTTCCCGCCTCCTCCCGCCTCCTCCTCTCTTCTCTTGCTCTTACCCCTGGGCGGCTGCGATCTGTGAATCTGTCGCCACTTTCGAGGGCTGCTGGGGGGTCCAGCGGAGTGACGCCCTACGGGGACTCAGATTAGACCTCGCCATCCCTGGGGGGCTGCGATCTGTGAAACTGTCGCCACTTTCGATGGCTGCTGGGGGGCCCAGCTGAGTGACGCCCTGCGGGGACTCAGATTAGACCTCGCCATCCCTGGGGGGCGGCGACCTGCGAAACTGTCGCCACTTTCGATTGGGGGGGGCGCCAGATCTGTGTGTCGCCACTTTCGAGCGGAGTGACTCAGATTAGACCTCGCCATCCCTGGGGGGCTGCGATCTGTGAAACTGTCGCCACTTTCGAGGCTGCTGGGGGGCCCAGCGGAGTCCCACGGGGACTCAGATTAGACCTCGCCATCCCTGGGGGGCTGCGATCTGTGAAACTGTCGCCACTTTCGAGGCTGCTGGGGGGCCCAGCGGAGTGACGCCCTACGGGGATTCAGATTAGACCTCGCCATCCCTGGGGGGCTGCGATCTGTGAAACTGTCGCCACTTTCGAGGGCTGCTGGGGGGCCCAGCGGAGTGACGCCCTACGGGGACTCAGATTAGACCTCGCCATCCCTGGGGGGCTGCGATCTGTGAAACTGTCGCCACTTTCGAGGGCTGCTGGGGGGCCCAGCGGAGTGACGCCCTACGGGGATTCAGATTAGACCTCGCCATCCCTGGGGGGCTGCGATCTGTGAAACTGTCGCCACTTTCGAGGGCTGCTGGGGGGCCCAGCGGAGTGACGCCCTACGGGGATTCAGATTAGACCTCGCCATCCCTGGGGGGCGGCGATCTGCGAAACTGTCGCCACTTTCGAGGGCTGCTGGGGTGGCCAGCTGAGTGACGCCCTGCGGGGACTCAGATTAGACCTCGCCATCCCTGGGGGGCTGCGATCTGCGAAACTATCGCCAAGTTCGAGGCCTGCTGGGGGGCCCAGCGGAGTGACGCCCTACGGGGATTCAGATTAGACCTCGCATCCCTGGGGGGCTGCGATCTGTGAAACTGTCGCCACTTTCGAGGCTGCTGGGGGGCCCAGCGGAGTGACGCCCTACGGGGATTCAGATTAGACCTCGCCATCCCTGGGGGGCTGCGATCTGTGAAACTGTCGCCACTTTCGAGGGCTGCTGGGGGGCCCAGCGGAGTGACGCCCTACGGGGATTCAGATTAGACCTCGCCATCCCTGGGGGGCTGCGATCTGTGAAACTGTCGCCACTTTCGAGGGCTGCTGGGGGGCCCAGCGGAGTGACGCCCTACGGGGATTCAGATTAGACCTCGCCATCCCTGGGGGGCTGCGATCTGTGAAACTGTCGCCACTTTCGAAGGCTGCGTGGGGGGCCCAGCGGAGTGACGCCCTACGGGGATACAGATTAGACCTCGCCATCCCTGGGGGGCTGCGATCTGTGAAACTGTCGCCACTTTCGAAGGCTGCTTGGGGGGCCAGCGGAGTGACGTCCTACGGGGACTCAGATTAGACCTCGCCAGCGCTGGGGGGCTACGATCTGTGAAACTGTCGCCACTTTCGAGGGCTGCTGTGGGGCCCACGAAACTGTCGCCACTTTCGAGACCTGCTGCGGGGTCCAGCATAGTGACGTCCTACGCGGACGCAGATTGGACCCGTCATTCTACTTCGATTATCCCGCATCTGCGATCGACTGTATGTGTGCGAGGAACTAGACATGGAGTGGTCTGGCACTGACTGACGTCAAATCGTTGTGTGCCAGTGTCTCCTGGGGTGTTGCCTGATGTGGATGCAGCTCGTCGGCGCTGCGACTCGAGCTGGCGGTCGTCCTTCGGACCCGCAGAAACATCTGCTGAGCTCGATGAGCTAGGGGAACTACAGGAAATAAGTGCAGGAAACGGAGGCCGGTCATGCACTCGCCGATACCTCGTTGCTCTGTCATCGTCTTTGCTGTTGCATGATCCTTATCTGGCCTGCCGGCGCCGCGGCTCGAGCTGGCGGTCGCCCTTCGGGCCCGCGGGAACATCTTCTGAGACAGGTGGACGCCGCCGCCTTACTTGCAGGCAGCGCATTGCATTCGCGGACAACAGCATGGCAGACCGCAGTGAGATCCTCAGTCGCGTGGTGTTGCCAAGCCTGGTGGAGACGCGCGCGATCGACCTGAAGTCCCAATCGCGCGTGCACTGTACCTGCGTGGCGTTCAGGCACGCGCGTGATGCTGCTCGCTCCGCGTTTAACCAGTACGTGGCCAGTGCAACTTTGGACGGTGGACAACCGATTGATGCTACGCGACCCCGGCCTTGAGTTTCTTTCCCGCGGGCCGCCCGCAGACCTGGCGGCGCGCCTGCGAGCGTTCAGCCCCCGCGCTGAAATGTGCGGGAAGGAGGCGGAGAAGCTAGCGGGCGAGCTACGCCTCGCTCGTTCCTTGCACTCTAAACAAGTTTTATCATGTGTAACTCTGCGACGACATGGCGCAGGCAGCGCTGCGGGTTTAGCTCGCACTTGAAAAACGCGATCGTCGTCCTATTCCCAGCCTCACCTTCTCCATGCATGCTGCTGCTTCCGCGATGGCCTTTCGCCCCCCCCCGCCCTCCATTCCTACCCCTCGTTCCCGTACCCGTTTTTTTTCGATCCTGGGGCCTCAATCCTCGTTCTTTCGATCGTCGTCCTGTGAATCGTGCAGCGCATGCGCATCCCATGTAGCTTGCACAGCAAATCGCCGCGTCTACACTGTCGTTGTTCCTGCTAGTGTTGGCATACTCCTCTTGCCATTTGATGCACGTGGGTTGGGTACGTCGCAGGGTAATTTTTCGAGTGCGTGGGGGCGGTGCGGCCGAGAGAAGCTCGCGCCCGGGAGAGGGTGGGGCGGGGGGACAGGAGGAGGCTTGGGCGACCCGAGATCTATACACATCCACCGCCCTTCTCCAGGCCCATCCTGGGCCCAGGAGCGGTGCCTCTGCCTCCCTGGCCAGGCCAGGGTTCGTGTGCACCGTTCCTGGGCCCGCGAGGCGCTTTGCCAGGGGCGGTGGACACGCATGGCTCTCTCGTCGCCCTGCAGATGGCCACGGAGGCCGGCGCGCTTGTGTGGCACAGGCAGCCACCCTTTCCTCCGCATCGCCATGAAGCAAACAGGGTCTTCAGCGAAGCGGGTCCTGAGGTTTTCGGCCGCTTTCTGGCCTCCGGGGCCCTCTCCGGGCCGTGGGACCGTCACAACATGAGAAAGGAGGGATGAAGAACAGGTCCTAGGGGAAGGCCCTGGGTCCAGGACCATACCACTCAGGACCCGGTTTCCTCTGGTTGTTGTCGGACTCCTGCATTGCCCGCCTGACCCGGGGGGCAAGACCGCCCCAAAGTTGGGCCCGTGTGCCACGGCCGCGGAAACGGAGGGGGGAACAGGAGAAGGAGGGGAGTGGAACGGGTGGGGGGGAAGGGGAAGTGGGGGGAGGAGCAGCGGGTAGGCTGACCTGGCACAGGAAACATTGGGAGGGAGCAGGAGGGCGCCATCCATACACTCCCAGAGCGGCCCCTTTTCAGCGCAGAGCGGGCGCGCAGTCCGCGAGGAACGCTTGCGGAAGTGCAATGCCTGCTACAGCCACTTCCAAGAGATATACAGGCCTCGCATGGCCGGTGCTTCTCTCTCTTCCGCTGCCTGCCGCCATCTTTCTCGCCCGGCCGCGTCAGTTGCTGCCACCCCTCCCCACAGACACCACTCGCTTGGTTCATTCGGGCCAGGCGCGTTGCAAACATAGAATATACGTTGCAAGTGTACGTGTCATACCAGCCTGCATGCCCTGTTACTTCCTTGTTAGTTATTGCTTAGCAGTTGTTCACACGTTGTCTTATTGCGTCTCGACCATCCCGGCCTCCCTAATGGGGCCCACATTAGATGGATGGTCGCGCTGCATCGCCGATGCATCGCCGACGCGACGCGATCCCAAACCAGATTTTCTCCACCCCGACGTCGCCGACGCATCGCCGATGCATCGGCGATGCGGTGCGATCCTCCGACCCTAGTTGCTCTGGCCCTGTTTGGGAGGCCTCCAGACTTGCCGGCCAAGGCTTCTTCCGGATGGCTCGGCCTCGACGGGCAAGTCCGGCGGCTTCAGAGGGAGCTTGCAGCGGTTCTTGCAGGGCTGCTGACGGCTGCCACCGCGGACCGCGGCCGCTGGCCGACTCGCGCCGCGCCGCGGCAGCCGTGAGCCGCCGGAAAGGGCTGTGCGAGTTTGCCTCAGCCCGCCAGGAGGTGGTGGAAGAGGAGGAGGATGGAGGAGTCGTTTGAGTTTGCTGGTTTTGGTGCGATGGTGGTCACTGTTGTCTGCCTGGGCAGTCAGAAGCTGCCCAAGTAGGAGTAACCCATAATTCGTGATCTACGTGGTGGTTGGCCGGTTTTGTAGGCGGTCGATCATTTGAGGCATTGAGGCGCCTCGTGGGCGCCACATACGCCGGGTGCGCCCGCTGGGGGTGCCCGCCCGTGGCCGCCCTGGGGCGCCAGGTGGGCGCCCCGGGCGCCGGGTGGGTCCGCTGAGGTTCCGCCCGGTGCCCGCCCGCGGGCGGCCGCACAGCTTGCGCCAGGGTGTCGGGCCGGGCGAAAGGGGGGGATTGGGAAAGGGGGGGTTACGAAATTTGCTGCATGCAGCTGGTTTCGGCCTCACCGAGGGGCCCATTCCTCGATACATAGCCGCCTCCGGCGCCGGGAGGCGCCGGGAAAATCAGCTACGTGAGCTGATTCTCAAACCCCCCCTTTGCTATCCCCCCCTTTCGCCCGACCCGAGGGTGGCCTGCACCACGAACCACGCACGTTTCGGAAACTGGAGCATAGGCAGCACCCGTGGCGGGCGGTGTTTCAATCCCAGGACTTCTTTGAGGGTCGGGGACGACGTCGGGATGGTCTGGTGTATACTTTTTCCCCCGTTTTCCTGGGGAAGCAACGAAGAACGTATACACCAGGATCCCGTATACACCAGGATCCGCTTTTCTGTGCGAGATCAGTACGAGGCCAGACAAAGGCGTCGGTGCATAGAGTTCGGTTCCCTACCGCTCTCACCTCAAAAGAGAGACTTCGCCACCCTCCCCGCCCCGGGGCTATGGCCTTATCTGTGCGACTTTGCAAATTTCTGCTACATCGTTCATCGTCTATCGGAAGGCGTACCATCTCAGCCCATTCAGAATTGACCCCCCCATTCCCCCAGTCATCCTTGACAAATACTGCCATGCGCGCGTTCTCGTGTATCTAAAACGATAGTGCGTTCTCGTGTATCTAAGACGAGAATACTTCAACAGTCTTAGCAACACATACCACAACATCCACGCGCGCACATGTCGGCATCGTACCAAGCGCATATGCTATGCAAGCAGTTCAACATAACAATATCTAAACCGCATTGGTTGAGCATCAAACATATTGCAACTGTTCTACCCGCGCGAACTTGCTGAGAACAGGAGGGCCATACGATTTTAGCAAATTCGTTCAGACACTGTTTTCTCATCTCACCACGCGGTGCATCCGCGTTGATCTAGCTTGCGCCCAGTGCACGAGTCCGTATAACATACCCCCATGCGGGTGTTCGAAGCTTTTCAAGGTAGCATTCTTCATTCACGTGAAATCTACACGTGACTCAATCCGCAGTTTGCTTTATGTAGTGAGATTATGCGCGATCGCACTTCCCCATCACCCTTACTATCGCAATTGCGCCGCCGCCTTTATCGCCATCGGCAATCGCCGCCGTCACCGACATCATCACCACAGCCACCCTCATCACCAACACGTGAACATTATCACCGTCATTGTCGTCACCAGCATCTGCGACGCCACTGGCCGTCTTCGTCGTCGTCGTCATCGTCGTCGCCATCACCATCATGCCACCGTCGGCGTCGTCATAGTGTCGCGTCCGCCCGGGCCACCGAACCGCACTGAAGTGCCCGCGTGCCAGCGGGGCCTCGGAGACGCGCTGGGGTGTTCCCATCATAAAGCGCCAGCGCGGCCGCATTCCTTGTGCCGAACCAACTGGTCGCACCGCGCGCGAGATGGCGCGGCCGTATAGATCAGTAGCAAAGCAACAGTCGCAATCGTGGCCGCGTGGGCTTTTCCAAACAAGTTGCGGGTCGGAGGGTGGGATTGCCGTTTTTTCTTTTAAAAAATAAAAAAATGGTAGAGTCTCTTGTCAAAAGAAGATTGAATATAGATTCCACCGCCCTCCTGGGCCCAGGACTATCGACCCCTTTGGGACACGGCGAATTGCACGGCTTTGCCCCATCGCCAATGTTCCGTATGATCGCATACCATCCCAGCAAGGCCAGCATTTTTTAAAACATCGTTTTCTGAATGCACGATGCGCGCTCAATTTGTTCACTCAAGTTTTAAGACGGATCTGCGCAAGCAATGGCACAGCGTCCGCGCGCGCACGTACCGAAATCACACCAAGCGCAGTCGAGTTGCAAGCATGCCGACATCAAAGTATGAACAACCCATTGGATGTGCATCCGAAGTCTTGCGGTGTTCGGCCCGCGCAGTTTTGTTGAAATGCGCGGAAAGCCATACGACTCCAGCAAGTTCGTTCCAAGCCACGCTTCTGCATCTGGCCACGCGGTGCATCCGCGTTCATCTAGCATGCGCCCAGTGCACGAGCCCAAATCAAATACCCCCATGCAGGCCACGCGCGCGCCGCCTCGCGCGCGTGCCGAAGTCGGCGTGCACATTTCTAGTTTTCGAAGCATCTCGCAGTAACGCTGTTCAAGCACATCTGCAACACCCCGCGCTTTTTTGTTGTACAAAACAAATGATATAGTTTTTGACGTTCCGCGCGCGCAGTTCCTCACAATCATTTTCCTCAGCGCCGCCGAATCACTGCCTTTTCAACATCATCGCCAATCGCCAGCATTGCCGCCATTGTCGCCATCGCCAGTCAACCACATTCATCACCATCACACTGACATAATCTCAGTCATTGATTGCCGTCGCCAGCATCGGCGCCGACATTGGCCATGCGGTCGTCATTGTTGCCATCGCCCAACGCCGTCAGCAGCGCTACTATCATCACCGCCGCCGACGTCATCATTATACCGCGCCCGTCCGAGCCACCGACCCGTGATGAACTGCCCGCGCGCCGGCGCGGCCTTTGAGACGCGTTCGGAAGTTCACACCAGGAAGCGCCATTGCGACCGCATCGGTTGTGCCAAACCAGCTGGTCGGTCTGCGCGGGAGCTTGCGCGCACCACCGCAGCCGCACAGATGCGCCAGCCAGCGCCAATTGGTCACCGCAGTCGCGCCGCATGGGTTGTGCAAGGCAAGTTACGAGTGGGAGGGTTCGGAATATCGCGCGAGCAGTGGAGTGGACGATTTCACGTTCTGCAAGGTGGATTGCACATAGGTGTTAACACATATCGGGTATGGTCAGGACCCCGGGTAAGGGGACCCGATTAGTGGTAGGGCCCCGGAGCCCTTAAATTTGCCAGAATCACTAAACCAGGTTTGCCGTAGCTCGTGTTTCTTCGGGCGACGGCAGTTCCGGTTAGTGGAACGGGTCGGGGGCGCGACCCCCAGTACACATCACTAATCCAGGTCCCACTAAACCCAGTTGTGCCAACGCCAGAACATAGCGTTATCCATTTCGATGACCTTGCCGACTCATTATTGCCTAGTTCATGTTGGATTGTTTGTGTTGCTTGTTTACTGTATGGTCCTGCGCACCCTGTTGTTGTCCCAGTTGTTTCTTGCCGAATGTATGCCCGAATCGTTGGTAATCCATTTTCGAATATTGATAATTCGTGCTTGGTTCTTCACGTAATACTTTGTGTTTTGTTCATGTCGTGTTCAATGCGGTCCGCGCTTTCCTGTTTGATTCTCGGCTGAGAATTCCCGGTTGATGTGGTTGTTCGCCTCCTCCAGCGTACTTGTAGTTTCTGTTGGTTTTGTTTTGGCTGGTTGCGTCGGTTCCCTGCCTGGACGTTAGCGCGGACATATTTCAAGTAATTTAGCGAGGATTCGTGTTCTGCCGTGCTGCGGCTGCTGATCCTCATCTCCTTAATCCTCATTTTCCCTCGTCCCCTCTTGCGCTTAATCAGATAATGGATTGTTTCGATTTGTGTTCGGGATTCGGTTTTCTGCTACGTATGGGGCCAATGGGACCAGGCGGACAGCGACGACGACGACGAAGGCGACGAGGACGAGGGGGAGGAGGAAGAAAACGACGACGAGGGGGCGGAGGGCCAGCACCCCCATCCGTTTTATCGGCCCAAGCCAAAATCAAGGGCAGAAGAAAGGAACGCATCGGATTCACATAGGAACCATATTGACACAATCTTGGGGTCGTCAACTAGGGTTTGAAAAGGCTCATCTTGGGGCAATCTCGAAGTCGTCTTGGGCTCATGGGGTCGTCCCGGGGCCACCTAACATCGGGGTCACGCGGTAGCCTGAGTTCAGGCGGAAGACAGTGGGTTCGTCTCGGTATTCTCTTGGGGCCGCAGGGTCGCTCTGGGGTCATATTGGAGCCACTGATTAGCAGGGGTGGGCATCTTGGGGCGACAGGGGTAATCTCGTGATCCTTTCAAAACCCTGTTGGGTCCATTTTGGAATCATCTTTCCGGTGCTGCCTCTTTCGTTGCTGCTGCTATTGATGTTGCTGTTGTTGCTGGCGTCGATGCTGCTGGTGCTGCCCGGGCTGCCCGTGGTGTTGATGCAATGTAAAATGCTGGGCCTTTTTGGAGCCATCTTGGAAAGTGCGCCAGTGGATCTCCCTGAAAACACTGGAGGGGGGGGGGTGCAGAACCCCCCCCCTCCCCCCCTTCAAGGGGGGGGGGTCCAGAACCCCCCCCGCCCTCCCCCCTTTAAGGGTGGAGGGAGTTCCGACCCTCCTCCCCCTTCAAGGGGGGGGGGGTCCGGACCCCCCCCCTCCCCCCTTGGCGCTGGAAAGGGGGGGGGGGGGGTCGGACCACCCCTTCCTCCCCCTCTTGCGCCGCAAAGGGAGCCTGGGAGGGGGGGCCTTTCTCGCTTCTCCTTTCTGCGCTGGAGAAGGTGTGTGGGGAGTACGGAGTTGGAAGTAGGGGGTGGTGAGTAGTGAATAGTACGTTAATGCGTAGTGAGTAGTGACTATTGGGTAGTGAGTAGTGGGTAGGTAGTGAGTGACGAGTAGGGAGTAGGGAGTGGGGAGTAGTGAGTACTGAATAGTGAATAGTATGTACTGATAAGTGAGTAGTGAGTGGCGAGTAGTGG